CTCAACCCGCAGAAATCATGTTTTCATTTTAATCCAACCATTTGGCCCCGCCAGTGGGCCCCGGACCAGTGGTTGAAAATAGCTTCAGGGCCAATTCCAGTGTTGTGCAGTGTTACTTTTAGTTTACCTGTATTATGCAGAGGTGTGGTTTAGAGTCACATGACTTGGACTCGAGTCGGACTTGAGTCACAAAGTTGATGATTTTGGACTCAACTTTTGGACAAAAGGTTTGCAACTCCACTTTTTTGAGACAGCCCTTATTTGTTATTTATTCGTTTGTTTGAGAAGAGGATTTACTCGGGGGGGAACTGAACTGAACAAACATCTATCTTAACTAATTTCTATCTTTTGTTGTTTGTAATCCGCCACAAGACAAATCTATTAATTTCCTTTAATTTAGTGAGTCAATCAAACGTTATTCCCAGCAAGTCGACATGTAATTACTGAGTTCCGCCTTGTTTGAAATATTCCGACAGCAAGTCAATTTCCAGCACTGTATTTATTTATGATCTATTTCCAATGCCCTCCCGCCACCAAACAGTTGGAAGTTTGGTTATATCAGGCAATTAATATTATCAAACGACATATTCAATCAGCGACAGGCTTGATAATTGAGTTAATTAATGTTTAAGGTATGATGGATTTAATAGTTTACTCCTCTTGTATATAATACACTTTATTTATAGAGCACTTATCAAAACAAGGTACAATGTGCCTCTTATGGAGAGAATTAATTGAATTACTGACTACCAGTAATCGAGGCATGAGGAGATAAAAGCATGTACAAGAGTATCTACATCTCTACAAGTTAAAATCATTTTTGCAATATTTCTCAGGTGCTTCAAACATAACTGGACAAGCTCTGTGAAATGTTGCTCAAAAAATTCATGGGACCCATCACTCCTAGTTCCTGGCCCGCTTCCATCACAAAAGCTCGATGATTCGAAACTTGCATAAAGCCACAAGAGTTACAACCAAGACAGAAAGGTTGAACAAGAGACAGAAACAAATGAGCAAGGCCAGAGAAAAGGGGATTGTTGTGATTAAAAGACAATTATCTGCGCATCGACTTCCCAGTGTTGTTCAGTGTCAGGCTCGAGCTGAGCTGTTCTGTCCCAGAAGGCCTCGGGAGACAATGGCTACTGTGTCAGGAGGAGGGAGGGGGTGCGTTAAAAAGTCTTGGGGTTTCATGACACGGTCACAGCACCATGCAACTGTTTGAATACTCTAAATGCTACGTATAGGCTTAGTAATGTGTTTTTATTTATGGTAATCGCAGGAATGAGTTAAATGAGTTAAACCTGAGATAAACCGCAGGTTTATCGGTTACAAGCATATTCCCCAATTTGATGTATGATTGCTTTAAAACAACCTAACGAGAATGTGGCGAAGTTGTAAATAGAACTTTAAAATAGGCTTTAGGGGGAAACTCACCAGTACAAAAATCACAATATCATAACTTAGATAAAGTTATGGTGATCTACCGGTTGCAAAGTGGAACTATTACTGTGGAAAACCCAAATGGATGTTTTTAAAAGCAGCTTCAGGGTGACCTTAGTTCACTGTGTGGTTCAATCGAAGGACATCAAGGAGGGGTCAGTCGTGGCTTCGATCACAGAGGCAAGTGGAGATGTTTGTACACACAACCTCCAGCTTTATCGTGGAGCCCAGTAATATTAGCGCAAATGGATCTTCAAGACAAAACATTTACTTTTAGTCTATTTAAGTAGATTTGTACTCATCTGAAATAATAATTGTGGTTTTCTCAAAGAACAAAGACAATGATTTCTTTCTAAAACAAGAAATCACATCTCCGAATGATAATTACAGTTACATAAGCACTAATGCAGCGTTCATGTCATATCAGATTTATGCTTTTCCAACTTGTAAATACTGTTCACGTCAACATCTAAGTTATAATTATGACTGGGGAGCTTTCGTTTTCCTGAGACCTCAGATATAACTGATAATACAAATGTGCCAAACAACATGGACGCCTCACATCAGCTCAAAATCTGTCAATCAATGTAATTAAATACAAATTTAATGGATTTAGTGTCGATACATCGTATTTTTAATCCTCATGCAACCAAACAACTGTCTTGAAACAAACGAGAAGTGATGCTCTTTAATTAGGTGGTGTTTTTCAGTCGGTTATGTAACTTTTCTGAAGTCATACTCTGAAAACCATGTCCACCGGCGGGGGAAAACTATCAACGTCACAATATGCAGCCAGGGGCTGAAACGCTAACAAAATGCCTGTAGCTATCTAAACATGTTAGATGTCAGCATGTCAAAGAGTTGTTGTAGCACTCTGTGTCTATGGGGTGCAGTTGATAACTAAAATGATGATGGGATTAGTCAGCTGTTAGCAAGCAACAGTTAACTATGAGTTAGCAAGCTACTGTACTTAGTTAAAGAACTAGTGTTGGAGCCGCTAAGTACGACTTTGTGTAGAGAACCATATTAGAGTATGTTTTTACTAGCCTCCAGGTTTATCGATCGACTTGCAGAGATACATTTTCTCATCATCTATAGTAATGTATTTTAGATCTTTAAGGGCGAGCTACACTTTAAATTGCTGTATGTGGCTTTAACAATTATAAAAGCGAGTTAAGTATCTGCAAGTTGATTTTTCTTTGGTAGTGAGATCGTTGGAAAACACATGAAAATAATACTAACCACTTTGTCATGCTCTGAAAAGCAGATTGTGGTCACAGGGGTAAAACATGCAAAAAACACATTATTATATTATTATTGTTCTTTAGTTTCTCTCGCCTCTGAAGCGTCTTTAGACTCCTTACTACTTTCCCTCATCATCTGCATTGGCCCCTCTCAAACTCACTTCCTGTCTTTTGTTACAATGACCTCAAAATGTGGATGTGCTCTCCATCAGTCCAAAGATTATCAAATATGCTCAGTTCCATCCAGCGTACAGCAACTGGCCGTGTTGGATAGAAAGGCCACGGAGCTCAAAGCCTCACCCATATTTGCTGGGGCGAGCTAGTAACAGTGTGGCCCTTTGTGGCCCCCTGTGTATTTATGAATGGCTGAGCCTCGGGGCGAAGCTTTAGAACAATGCTGCTACACTGAAGGACCGATTTTCATATGGGAGGGGTGATGGTGATGATGGTGGTGGCAGAGGAGGTGGTGGTGGGACGGGCAGTTTATTCTCCACCGTTGGGGCTTGGTACAGAGAGTGGCGAGAGGTCTTGCTGGTAACGGGCTGGTGTGACGCTTTGCGTGTGAGTGTCAGAGGGAAGGCTGCTGGAACTGCTCAAACAGGAACTGCTGAACGCTTGGAGGTCGGCCACGGTCACCTACACAGGTGAGCAGCTGCAGTGAATTCTGATTTGTTTGTTTTTATTTGAGCTTTTGGAATTGGAGATGTTTTAGTAAGAGGAAGGGATAGGGGAGGGTGAATGAGTATAACTTCCATTTATCAACATCTATCTATATCATTTTGTTATTTTTGTTCTTTAGGGTCAAACACCTACAGTCAGGCTGAGTGTGTGCTTGTTTGCGTGACTGTTCATAGATGTGGATGAGTCACAAGTTAGACTGAGTTAGGTAATGAGTGTGTGTGTGTGTGTGTGACTTAATGAATGCGTGCATGAGCGAACGTGTTTTGTGATGATGTGTAAGCGTGGACACATGAGTGAGACAGTGTGTTTTCTCTCTGTGTGTGTGTGTGTGTGTGTGTGTACGTTGTTGGCGGGGGCTGCTAAAAGCCCAGCCAATCATTACTGGACAGATTTCGCTGCCTGTGCCATTAGCGATGATCCGTTCCTGTAATTACCAGAGCGTCTTACCACATCCAAACATCTGATGCCAGGTAGAAGAGCCTCTGATTACGCAGCCAACCAAAACAGTTTTACAAGTGATTTAACAGCAGTGGACTGCATTATGAAAATGAGTGGAAGATATGTTTTCTTTAATGACAGTTTTTCCACTGCATCTACAAAATAGAAGGTTTACAGAGACAACAAGTGATGGTGCTGTTTCAAAAAGGGAAACAAGATAATCATCTGAGTGGTAGTGGAGCAGTGTAATTTTAATTCTTAATTATGGCCTAATTGTTGAATTTTTAATAAGACCAAATGCCAAAAAGCATAATCCCTCCAGGACAGGCTGAATCCCATCACATTTGAGTCACAGATTTTGACCTTTAATTATAGCTTCAACTTTAGGCCGTTTAATGTATTTTATAAAAATCGATGGACGTGTGCATCAAGTTTCTCCTGCCAATTAGACTTTCTGTTGGATTTGGGGCATTTGTTGCTGTCCCACTTTTGGACATCGAGTCAAGAGGATTGGGTTTTAGTGATCGTTGGGATGGGGCCACACTTTTCTCTGTCTGTGTGGCCGAACAGGTGACTGCTCTGTTTGTCGCCCCCTTTTGTTCAGAGCGGAAGGGAGAGCGCTCTAATGAGAGAGGGGGCCTGTGGCTCACCATCTGCCCACTGGGCCGGGGATTGCCAGAGTCACTTGGTTTGCCAGGTAGAAAAGATTGAAATCAGCTATTGGTGCTCCTGGTCTCTCGACATGTTGGTGATCTGCCAACTGAAGATTACTCTGTTGTCATCCTGGTGAAATACTCCTAAAGTGTGATCTGTCTCTGTAGGAAATAGAAATAGAAAAAAAAAGCATGCTAAGTTGCACTGCAAACCAAACAGAAAGTAAAATGTAGCAAATATGTAACATCAGCACTAATTTGTAGGCAGGGAGTGAAACACACCAAGAAATAGCAAGAAAAACACTCTTGACATCCATCAAGCCATCTTCTGTGGTTTCACACTCTTGTGTAAACTAACACCTGCATCATCGTTTCCTTGTAGGACTTGAAGGATAATAAAAGAACCACATACATTATGGGCATGAAAAGTAAAATAGAAGTACTTAATGCATCTAACACTTCAAAGCATCTACTTTAAGAGGCAAGCAGGTTGGTTTTATTTCCTTTGATGACCTCAAAGTCCAGCCTGAATCTTTTATTTATGCCAGCACCCTTCTGCAGTACCTTGGACAGACTGTGTGACTGAATATTGGCATATCTCCGTGTTTATGTTTGTATCTTGCGTGCATGAGTGTGTGCGGTGCGCTGTGCTCATCACAGCTCAGCGCACCATGTGTGGGAGGGGGAGCAGCCATGTTTTAAGACCATCTGCTCCTCCGAGTATTTTAGTGGGGGCCTTAGCTTGTGGTGGACCAACGCACGTCACAGGCAAAAAGCAAAGCGCAAGCTGTGAGCGGGCCTGTTCCGGAAAAAAAAAATTCCTCCACTTGCTGCCTCGCACAATGGGCAGTGTTCTGCATACAAGGTTCCCATTCTTTTTCCCCCCCGTGTCCAAGAGCCTCGGCGAAGCTCTTGTACACGGGCCGCAGAAGATATTCACAATGAAAATGTTCTTCTTGGCACAGGCGATTGTTTGTGTGAGCCTTTTGGTTTGCGTGAGCAATCTCAATAATGTAAAATGACTCATAAAAGGTGTCACGGCCTGATTTAGCAGAGCTGATTGTTCAGATAGCGTCTGTATCCCTGAAGCGTGATGTGGAATAAGTGATCATGTTGAGGTTTAGATATTAGAAGAAGACATTCTGCACTGGCAGATAATGTTGTCCGTTTTGCTTCTTTCTGTGTGACAGAGACAAACTGTTTGTTTAACTGGACACTTACTCAGTCTGCTCTCGTACATTTCATGTTCACATATTCTCTCTACAATGACTACAGTCCCAGCAGGACAATGGAGCAGGCCGAGCTTACAAACAGCACATACAGGATGCAGAGGAAGGTCACATAACTGCACACCCCACACTGAGGAGTGTGTTGGCTTGCCTTATGTTGCATGTGTGTGTAGGGGCGGTATGGCATGCCGCGTATTTGTTTGAACTCGGCTCCAGAGCTTCAGTGCAGCGTTCTCCTCTTCAGCTCTTGTTTACGGAGGGATTCCCTTGAGGTTATCCATGGCTCAGTCGATGCCATCACTTGGCCGGTGGCCTGAAGGCTTTTGGACACAGTGACTCACCCGAACATGTAACAATGTGAGTGGGGAAAAAAAAAAAGTGCCACTTGCAAAGAAAAGTTGCCTTTGTTACTCTTATATGTAAACTAGGTGGACATCTGAGTGAAGCCATGCTTGTGCTCCCTGCCCACATACATTCGTCAGCAGGGAAAATATTAGATCTGCATACGGCTTGAAAGATCAATGATGCCCTGAAGCCTTTTTTCATCTCTAAAATTCAAATTGTCTTGCGTTAAATTGTATGATTTAGGCTCTTCTAGATGGTGATGTTTAACAAATGAACATTTCTAAGGTCCAAATCTGGATCAAACTAATGTAAATCTGTAATTTACGTAACCACATTCATCTCACAAGTTCTAAGGATCTCCTACACGCCGTATGTTGCTCTAACGCAGCCTTTCTCAAAGTGATATTGAGTCAGCATCCTTCCCCGCGCAGTGTTTGCCCTTGTGTTTTGGGCACCACTAGCATGAAACGGTTCAACTAATACTCAACATACTTTGCTTTGACCACAGAGGAAACTATGATCAAGGCGTAGAGTCTAAGGCATCAAAACGCACAGGACAGATGAGGGAAACGGTGGAGGAGAGGAATGCTGAGTGGGCCAAAGAACAGCTCCAGAAATGCCTGAACGCATATTCAGAGCTGCCCACGACACATGTAAACCAGAGCTCACACAGACTCCCTCTTTTCCCCTTCCCCTTGTCTCCTTCTAACATCTCTCTTTTCTGTCCTTTCCCACAGAATCTGACGTCTAGGATTCAGAGCAAGAAGACCAACTCAGGGAGAACAAACACAGCGGGAAGACGAAGACTTCGGGACCGAGAGGGAGCAGGAGCCTGGTGCTGAGGCTGGTATGAGGCAAGTGTTTTGTGTGCGTGTCGCGCGTGTGTGCGTCTAAGTGTGCACACGTATGCTGTGTGCTCAGTGCCAGCCGTTTGTCTGCCCCATCAATGAGGCCGTTGTTGTTGAGGTTGGTGGTGTTGGTGGTGGTGGTGGTGGTGTCAGCAGCCCTGCCTGGCTGCTCGGCTCCATTCTCTCCTGCCGTTGCTGATGCACGGCCTCTCTGCCCGGACACACTCGCCCATCTCTTGGCCTTTTGTTGCAGTGCAGATGGTGGAGCTTGACGCAACATTGGAGAAAAGTTGGGATTGTCACAATCAACAGTTGTGTCACTATGGGCTAAGATGGCTCAAAATGTGACCATATCAATGTTTTTAAAGGGCTGTAATCAATGTTTTTTTTTTATGTGAAAGGGGTTGAACCTACAGAGAATTATTACCTCTGCAGCGCCCCGTAGCTTTACAGAGCTTTAGCTCATTGTGTATCTGTCTGGCCTGCAGCTTTACTGTTTTGGTTCAGTCTCACTGCTCTCACAGCGTTGTATTCGACCACATCAGACAGCAAAAAAGCTCTGAAAACCCACTGTAGCAGCACCAAACGGCAGTCAGACACAGTTTGAGACTAGCTGAGGAGCTTTTAGCAGCTTAAGGGCCAGATACTTCCCTCAGGAGTTGTTGTTTGAGAACAAAACAGAGGTAAAATAAGAGTGAATATTAGATTCATAAGGTGCACAATAACATGATTCCAAATGAATTATAATGTTACTCTGTAACTGCTGGATTTTGTTCGCCAACAATTTCACCGTGTCAACTTAAAAGTTGATATATATATATAAAGTTATTGCAAGTTTAAAGAAGAGTGGCAATTGAGAAAGTAGATGGCATCTACTTGCCAAGTAAACTTCCTGTAAAAGTGTTCAAATATCTATGCATTTGTGACTGACATGATGAGCAGCATGACAAATCCATGGCCTCTTGCAATGTCATAAACAACAGCATTTTTCACTTCTCTCCACCAACAAGACCAATATTGGCTGTGGATTCTCCGGGGGATGTTGGGACGTGTTAATCAAGAAGCTCTTATACACAATCCACTTTCGGTCTGCCATCTGCACACACCGGCTGCTGCAGCATGAGGCAAAAATCCTCTGCTTCTACTTCTCCATGTATATATTCGACACCCACTGCACAAGTAACAGTCGTCATGATAATAGTATACATTTTATTAGCATAGCATTTAAACACACATTTCTTTGTGTTAAAGAAAGTTAACGCCGCCTTATTAGCATGGTGAAAATGTAAATATAAACTAGACACTCGTCACATAATAGACAAAGCAGTGATACAAATATCACTTCAATGCTCGGTGTGTGACAAAAAGTAATCAGGAAACATCTGTTGGAGAGAGTGATGATGTATTGAGTGTTAGCATCATACGTGATTAGTTATTAGTTATTAATCAGACGGACCACATCAGTTTGATTTTATTCACTGAAATTTACTTTAAAAATTATAAATGTGTCTTGTCACAATGAATAGGAGTTTAATACGCAATGCATGGAAAACTGGCAAACATGGTGTCAAGATGGTTTTCCACTACATCGTGACTCAATAAACATTGATTATGTTTTGGGGCTCAGTGGGTTCGTGACCCAAGAGGTCAAGAAGTTCCTCCCGCAGTGGGAGGACCAATACCACATTTAAGCTTTACTCACCCTCACACCTATTACAAGGTTACAACCATAGTGCATAATTAACATAAACTGACTTTGTTTACTTTAAATAAAGTATTGTTGAATACATTGGTTATATTTATGATTATTCAGCTTTATTGGTCAAATATGTGTCCACATACAAGGAATTTGACTCTGGTTTTAAGTTGCTCTCAATGTACTTCCACACAGTTACACAATGCAAGTTTTCTCATTTAATATCGATATCAAATGAGCAAAACTATCTGTAGTGTGATTTTGGAAGAAAACTGAATGGTGCTGAGATATTTGCCTTTATCTCATCACGCCTGGATTACTGCAACAGCCTCTTTACTTGGCTGCACCACAAATCGATTATACTCAGCTGCCAGACTTTTAACCAGTGCCAAGAGACGTGTAGCCATTTTACAGAGGCTCCCAGTATGTTTTAGAACAGATTTTAAGATGTTTTTACTAATTACTTTTAGGGTTCTTCGTGGCGTCTCTCCCTATCTCTGACTTATTAGTACCGCATGCTCTGGTACATACTTTGAGATCGTCGAGCAGGGGTCTTTTGTCTGTTCCTGAGGCCCGGCAGTAAGCTATAGGGGGCAGAGCGTTTGCAGTCAGAGGCCTAAAGCTTTGGAAAGATCTGCCCGAGGAAATTAGGTCGACAGTCACAATGATCTCTTTTAAAGGAAGGTAGGGTTTTGGGGCATCTAGTGGTGTGGTTGCAAATTGCAACCAACTGAATAACCCTCCGTTCACTCCTCCCTCTCCAAGACTGCGATAACGTGAGCTGCAAAGTGTTAAACCGTGGTAACGCCGTCGGCCTCGCTCGAAGGCCATCCATAAACAAAGTAACGCTAATGTAGGGGCAACGGTAGTCAGAAGACAGCTGGTGATACCACGCTCACTTTATCGCAGTTTATGTGTGTCGGAGAACTGAGGTGACCTTCAAGTAATGTAAAGAAAAGGCCCTCTCTAGAGCCAGTGTTTGGTTTGGAGAACTCTGTGAAGAGGACCCGCTCCCTATGTAGATGTGAAGGGCTCAGTCTAAGCTTACGAAAACACAATTCTTAGTTTCAGGTGATTATACACGAATAAAAACATAGTTATGAATATTATATTCCATTTCTGTACCTTTTTAAGTCCCTTCTTAAAACATACTTTTTTCGGAGAGCCTCGTTTTTTCCTCTGAACTGTCTTTTATTTCCTTTAAAAATGGTTTTCTTGTCCTACTCTAACCTTTTCCTATGCTATATTGTTAATTTATACACCAAATAGTTTGTTTCATCTGTTTGCTAACCTGATGATTTATGACTGTGTAATGTTGCTGCCTTTGTGAAGCCCTTCGGAACGTGGATTTTGAAAAATGCTCTACAAATAAAGATTATTATTTTTACTAAATGATTTATGTGCTATTGCTGTTGCTTTAAAAAAACAATAAATACAGTGTCATTTGTTTTGCAATCACTGAATATCATTTCTTTCTAGTACAGTATCAGTAATCTGCTGATGACATGATGTGTGGTCGCTGGAGTTTGGTGTTGTCACAGCTCAGTCAACACAGTGAGTGTCATTCATTGGACGGGCTTACGTATGGCGACCGTAATGAGTGACTCCACCGAGGGGGAGCAAGCAGGTGCTGGATGACGCTGAGTTTGTGTGTCATTGTGTCACTTACCACGGCTCCGTGAGAGCGAGTGGGCTGTGAGTGATGTCATCGCATGTTGATGATGATGCTGATGTCACCCCCCCCTTTCTTGTTCTTACAGAGAAGAAGGCTGTCGAGCTGTCTGGGTGTGAGTGAACACCCTCTAGTGGAGCTGCTGAAAAGCTGTCTTGCAGAGCTTCTGTCTGTTTTTATCATCAGCATTTCAAGGTAAAACCACAGTTAAAAGATACTAAAACATTTTTCAACTGAGTTTCTTTTATTTAAAAGAAATGTGTTTTAAAAAGTCTTCACCCAGTCCGCTCAACAACCCTACATGTCTTGCTTTGACTCAAAACACTCACTGAACAGTTTTAAAAAATGTGATTGAGAAGTCAGTTTGATTTTTGTTCATCTTCGTTAAGCATAGATTAACGCACATCCACATTTTGTTTTCAACTCTCCCTGAGGTCTCATCCTTTTTTCCCTCCCTGTTAAAGGTTTATTTTGTGGGAGTTTTTCCTGTATCGACGTGAGGGTGGTGGGACAGATGATGTCGTATGTGTACAGATTGTAAAGCCCTTTGAGGCAAATTTGTGATTTGTGATTTTGGGCTATACAAAATAAACTTAATTGACTTGAATTGAACTATAGCTGAAATAAAATGTAAACAGCTAGAGTTAGCTAAATATCTGAATAGTTAAGTTACATATACTTACACTGAAATAGCAAATGGACAAAGATTGGCACTTGAGGATACTGGAATACATTCAAAACTCTTCACATATTTCAAAATGGAAACCGGTAAAATTAGCTCATTTAAACTGGGAAAAAGCAACTATTCCCACTCAGTGGAGAGCGCCTGATGTTTAGGGAGTTTCAGTTTTTTCACCATCTATAACAATGGGACATCTCTGTTATTTTGGTAATTTGGTATTGCAACATGCAACATTTCTGTCACTTGATCCAGTTATTTAGGCTATGTAACGTGGTCTGTAATGTAATGTCCTGTTCTGTTTGAAACTCAATATTGGATAGAAAAGAGAAATATAATTCTTATGGTGTTGATATTAATAAAAAAAGAAAAAAGGATCAAAGAGTCCAATTTTGGTGATTAGTGATTCAGTAAAAATGCTGAGCAAATTGTACAATCTTTGGGATTTTCAAAGTAAAATCTACAGTCCTAAAGGTCAAAAACTCAAATGTTAAAAAAAATTCTTTAAAAAACGTTCATGCTAAAAGGTTCTTGGTGGTTTGGCTACCATGAAACATTTTGAGTATTTGTGTGAATCTTAGAGGTAGATGTAGTCTCTGAGTCACGCAGCAGCCCCAATGCTGTAAACAACACATTTCAGATTTTTTCTCTTTCTCTTGATGATGTGTGTGCTGTGACTGACAGGATCTTATGTGTTCCAGAGGTCTATGGTCCAACGTTGAGCAGAGATCATGTGGTGTTTGGAGCTGCTCTTACCACTGCTGTTGATCATCAATGGTAAAAAAAATTCCACATTTCTGTTGTAACTCACACTTCTCACTATGCATGCAGCGATGTTTCACTTCGTCTCTGATCTTCTCTCAGATGGCAGTTGCCAGTGGAATGTTTGGGTACCTCGGGACATCTCGGCCATGACAAACTCCTGTGTGGTCATCCCGTGCACCTTCATGTATCCGTCTGGTATCAGGCCGTACCGTGGCACTCACGGTATCTGGTACTTCGGCCAGCCGTACCCTCAGCTCTTCCCTCCGGTTGTCTTCAAATCACGCACGGACGTCGTGCACGAGAGCTACACGGGCCGCACCAAGCTGCTGGGTGACCTGACCCAGAGGAACTGCACTCTGCTCATCAACAACATCGGCACGGAGCACTCAGGGAGATATTACTTTCGTGCTGACCTCGGTGGAGCCAACATGTATACGTACCCAGACTTCTCTGAGCTCAAAGTCCTTGGTAAGTCACTGATCAGAGTGAAGTATACATTAAACTGTAACAAATAAACCAGAAATATTAAATCAGAAAAGTTTTTTGTTTGATCACCTCAACATAAAGGCTGAAAATATTCTTTCACAAGATTTAAGAAAACCTTTTCAACTTTAAAATTTATTTTTTAAGGATACTGTTATATTTCATTAATTGGCACAATATCTTTGCTCTAGTTTTTTTGCTTAACTTTACTAATACAGTTCCTCTTACTAACATTGAGAAATCAACTAATTTGCTGTCCACCAGATCAACCCAACATCGATGTCCCAGAGGAGATTGTCAGCGATGACAGTCTGGAGCTGACATGCTACGCTCCAGACAACTGCCCCGACATGACTCCAGAGATCCAGTGGATGTACACCGACTACCTGCCCGACCCGGAGTTCAGCTCCGACTACCTGGAGGAGAGCAACACAGCGGTACTCTCCAGCACCCTCACCTTCACACCCAGACCCATGCACAACGGGCAGCTCCTGGGCTGCAGGGTCTACTACCCCAACACCACACTGGTCTACGAGAGGCTCGTCTCTCTCGACGTCAAGTGTAAGTTAAAAAGCACCTCACACTATAAGGCCAATAAGTAATAATGATACTTTTCCAAGTTCAAAGTCCTTTCAAATGAGTTCCTTTGTGGAGTGAATTTAAGGTGTCCCAAACTGGAACCATATCCTGTTTAGTGTTTACGTCATGCATGCATATATTTCTTATATTATATTCTATGTTGCATAATCTATTTCAGCAGGAAAAATCAACCCATTGTTTTTTTAAGGCAGTCATTCAGTGTTGTCCAGGACATTAAATTCTCCACCTTACATTCCGCCCCAGATGCTCCACGCGCTGTGTGGGTGAACGTGTCCTCAGAGGTGATGGAGGGCAGCTCTGTGATGCTGCACTGCGAGGTGGACAGTAACCCTCTTTCCAGGATCTCCTGGATGTTCGGAGACCAGGAGCTGCTCTGGGACACGGCGTCCAACGTCTCCCTCTCCATGGACGATTTGACGCCTGCGCAGGAGGGAATCTACACCTGCATCGGGGACAATGGCTACGGCAGCATGAACACCTCCCTGTACCTGGCTGTCAAGTGTAAGTCTCTGACACAATTCCAACATACATACTATATACGATTAGTACGTAGTAGGGAATGAGGAAACAGTAAATTACATTGCATTTGCATTTTTAGATGATGATTTAAAATTTGTTTGAATTGTATAATTAGCTTGAATTCTCCAATTAACCACTGAAAATGTTTTGAGTATACAGTACTCGCCCTATGTCGGCTTACAATGTGACGCTTAAAAGTTTCCATCTTGCATCTGGGTGAAGGACAGAAGCTGGATTTACAACAGCTACAATCGAACAGGGAACAAATTAAAAGAAGTTTTAAAAACATTCATAGAAACTTCTCAAATCACCCTTTAGTTGCTTTTGATACGGACGCTCAGTGTTTACCAAACTATCCTGCATTCACCAATAAATCAATATCCACTGCAGAGCTTCGGAGCCAAGAGAAGGCAATGGTGGAATAACAAAGAAGTGTGTCGGACAATATTGTGGAATAAAAAAATTAGAGCTGTGTCCCAAATCTATAATATACTAATGGTACCATAAATCAATGTGCTTTTTTTGTTTTGTACAAACACAGAAGGACACAAGACATGATCAGACTGTGACCTTAAAATACCACTGCCAGATAAACTTCACAAGAAGAAAGAAAACAAGGATCTAAAAATGGATCTAAAATCTGTTACTTTTTGCATTTTGTGACACAATAGTTTTGATCAATAACATATAAAAACATCAAGTGCATTTAGTGTGGAAACTCACATTATTTAGTATACTTTCATTTTTTCCCCTGTGTGCTACATACAGTACTCAAAACCTGCTGATCATTGGTATGGAACTGGGACACAGCTCATGAGTGCTTTGACCATCCTCTTGAATAGTTCGTCTAGGTTGTAAGAGTATCTCTCTGTAATCATTTAACATTTGCATTTATTAAAACGCGCATATATTTTACACAGAAGCAGAGAACATCACTCTGTTTGTAAGCTGCTCAACATTCAAGTGTCTATCATCAATATTTTTTTTTAAATAACAATGTAAAAATTAAAATGTGAAAGGGGTCGCTCATAATGATGAAGTCAAAGACAATTATCCCCCAAATGTGCAGCGCTCCTCAGCTTTATGGAGCGTTATGGTGAGTTTTTGCTCAAGGGTCTAAAAGTTCACTCGCACTACCTGCTCAACACCAAACAGCAGAAAGACACAGTTTGCACATAGCTGGTGAACATAGTGGGGCATCTAGCTGCTAAAGAGCCAGATATTTCACTCAGGAGTTGGTAGAGACCCATAACAGAGGCCCAATGGACTTACATTACCTAGATGACCAGCAACAAGATTCCAAATGAATTATAATGTTGAACACTGATATTTTTTGCAGACCCTCCCCGCGAGCCCGTGGTGAACGACTCTATGACGGTACAGGAGGGATCCTCACTGGCTCTGCACTGTAGCACCCAGGGCAGCCCGGCCCCAACACTCACCTGGCTGAAGGACGGGGAGCTGGTGGGCACCATCACCGCTGACGAGCTGTCGGTGCTGCAGATCGTAGAGATCACACCGCAGGGAGACGGACAGTACCGCTGCCTGGCCGAGAACGAGCATGGAAGAGCCAGCAGCTCCTTCAACATCACTGTTGAGTGTGAGTGTTTCACTCACCTGCATTTCACACAACGGTAGTGTCAAGAAGTATAGGATGTAGAATGATAACGATCTGCAGGTCTCGTCTGTGTAGAGAATGTGTGTTATATGTTGATCAGTTGGGACAGTGGCAAATTATTGTGGGTCCAGTGTTCTGGGAAGTGAGGAGAAAATGTAATCCTTGACCAGTCGTTTAATGCACTTCATCACTACAGAGTTGAGTACCATTCAGGCTGGTCTTGTTTTCCTGGGCACAGGAATGATGTTGGACTTCTTAAAGCATGTGTGTATGACAGACTGAGCCAGGGACAAGATGAATATTATTGTGAACACCGGCGCTAGTTGGTCAGTTTGAGGACTAGGCACTGTTACCGCCTGGTACCACTTTTTTTTGGCGTTCACACGCTTGAAAACCCTCCAGACGTCATGCTCGGAGAGGATGTAAAAGGTGCTCCCACCCATTCACGAACCTCTGCTTCAGCTGTTTTTACTTGTTGGCTGCCGATTGTCTCAAAGCGAGAATACAAATTTTACAATTGACAAGAAGCAGCATAACTGTGAGAAGAAAAAGACATGTTTCTTATTATATGTTTTCATATTCAGTGCTGTTATTGTAGCTCTTTCCTCTGCTGCCTCCTTTAATAGATGCTCCGGTCCTCCTGGAGGAGTCAAAGTGCACTGTGGTGAGGGAGGGTGTCCAGTGTGTCTGCATGGCCACAGGAAACCCTGAACCCACCATCGAGTTCTATCTGCCCGACCTGAACATCACCATCAACGAAACGGATGGCCGGTACAACTTTTACACGCACACAGATGGACATACCTCCACGGGGATGATCAAGCTGCGGGAGAAAGGCGAGCGCGTCGACAACGGCGGCCCTGCCGTCAACGTCCACTGCAGCATCTACAACATGTACGGAAGAGAGAGCGTACACCTGGAGCTACAGCAGGAGAGTGAGTTGAAAATATTTATTGATGTAGTTATTGTAAAAAAAAAAAAAACATGAACAGATGAAAACCAACAGCAAATTGATCCTGAAGTATTGTCCATGTGGCCAAACCCTGATATATCCTATTTCTCTGTGCCAATGAGTTCCATTGTCGTCACTCTCACTGTTGCACTGTGACATGTTCCTTCTTCACCATGAACATGGGCACTGTAGTTTATTTTTACCCGATTCCATTGCTGTCTCGCTGCTTTAAATTCATTAATTGTTTATTGATCCGCAGAAGAAAATAGTCCCCAATAAATGCACAATTTCTTCCTGTTAAAGACATTTTTGCTAAACACTACAAGCCTTTGAATAAATTAAACTATATATATATATATATATATATATATATATATACAAAGTTTGCTTTTTAAAGTGTACATCTTAAGTATGAATGGAAGAGTGGCATCGATTGGGTAGAGGAGTCTGAGTAGTGAGAGACAGACTAACGGGGGCTTTCACACCAAATGCACAAGTTGACATTGTGCAGAGATGGATCATTTATTCCTTTGAGGAGAGCTGTGCTCTCTTGAGAGTTGCACGCGCTACAGCAGTGAGAACGTTGATTTTTCTGTGGTTTTGTGCATCTCTAAATTATCCTAAGCAACTCTATTTTCTGATGCAACAACGGACTAAATAAAAAAAAATGTATGGGATGAGATTAGCCCTGCAGCAGGTAAAATTGGAAAATACTTATTGTGACTACTTCTCTTCAATGTGCACTACTGTTTACTGTTACTGTTTGCTCTTGTGGGGTTGGTCTGAAACCTGCATAACATATTCTTATTCTTTTGGTTCATGGGATTATGAATAAGAAAATAAGAAAAATGTAGATCATGACATCCTTTAAATTCTCTATTCTTCATAAAAGTACATAATCGACATTATAAACGTTTGTTTGTGTTTTTGGACTCCAACATTGAAATAAGATATTCTTCTCCCCTTTTCCTACTCATATACTCTTCCCCTTCCTATGTATAGTCTTCTCATTGGTCAAGCAAACTGCTTTTTACCCTAAATTGATGCAATCATGCTGTGTTTAAGTGAACAATCCCTTCATGTTTTGTAGGCTACATATTGGCGGTTTAAAATGGCATCTTCCTCTTCCCAATGCTCTTCTTTTCCTTGTATGATGTCTTTTTGTTGTGCAGTTTAATATGAATGCCCTCGTTTTTTTACTTTGTTTTCAGAAAAGTACATGATGGCAGTTATAGTGGGCACCATTGGAGGAGTGGCGGTCATAGCCTTCATCATTGCAGCAGTGAGATACGTTGGCCACAACAACAAAAAGTGAGTATGAATGACAAACTAATGGAGAGGCCGATGCGAGGCAGAAGTAGTCAATTTCCTCACTAAATATTTACTGAAATCCAAGGAAACACTTGAGCCTAGTCATCCATTCTAAAACACATTGACGCACATTGTATATGAGTGAATGTGGGATTTTTGTGGACGTGAGAACCATTTCTCCAGAGCAATTCATCAGTTTATTTGCCAAGAAATCCTTGAGGATCCACATTGGTTGCCTTGTGAAGTGGGTTAGCGAGCTGGACTAACCTTATATTTTGCAGGCCAGATTCCCTGCTCTGACACCGCTTCTGTATCCTTGACCTGCTAAGCTAAATAAAACCAACTTAACCAAGTTGCTTTATTTTAGCCTCGAGGCATATTTGGACCGCGAAATTTGCACGCTTTCCCTGACAAATCACCCCTGAAGTGGGTGTGAGCTCAGCGACTAAACCCATTGAAATAACCACGTCACTCACTTACCACATTTGGCCTCCAGCATAACCTTACAGAGCTTATCGTTTTAAAATGGATGCCCAGGCTTGGCGTGTCGCCCTGCATTAGTGGCAGTCGAGACCGAGTCTGATCATGTGACTCCGTCCCCCAGAGAGAATGGCAACCCTAGGCAGGACGTGGTCCTGGAGAACCCAGCTTTGTACTACAGCGCAGTCAAGAAGGACAAACAAAATCTGAGGAAGAAAGTGGTGAGACATGCTGATGTCAATGATCATGATTATGATGGAGGATGGGTTGGCTGACCATTCTCAAATTGTTTAGGGTTACAGTTTTGTGTAATGCAACAAGTTGTAAATGATGAGACCCCATTGTGACCCCTGAAAATTAGGTAATAGAAGGAGTCTCTCCCACTAGCAGTCCAGTAGCTCCAACCATGTTTTCTCTTGCTTTCATCGCTTCTCTGCGTTTTTCTGTCTGTTTTTCTCTCCCCTAACTCTTGCACAGCTTAAGACAGAGCTGTTGGGCTCAAAGTTTAACTCCATTCTAGAGGAGACTACGGTAAGGTTCCTAAACAAATCCCCATTAAAAAACACAAACCTCAGTGACAGATGCATCTCCTCGCATATCAGCTTCTGTGTTCTGTACACTGCCGTTTGTTTCCGAATCTGCCTTCTCATTGCTAACATGAATTGCCCCGACTAACAAGAAACATCTCAGTCTCCTTGTCGACCAGTAACCAGTAACCTCTTTTCTTTATGTTGTCTGTTGCGCTGCTCTGTCATCTGAGTCGTCACCGGCAGCTTGCCAGTGATTTGTGCCGCTGATCGGTCCTTCTGTCTGCAGGGAGAAGACGGCGATTATCAACCTGTGGGCTATACTGCAGGACTGGAGAGGCAAGAGCTGAATTACGCTGCTCTGGAGTTTATCGGGGCCCGGCCCAGGGAGGGGGCCTCAGGGAGGGGGGATGATGGCAGCAACTACTCGGAAATCAAAGCCAAATGAAACGCAATCCTTCCCTGATCCCTCGGCTATGCGAGATGCAGTGGCAGCCCCAACACATGTTCTGCCCCGTATACTGTGTAATAACCCCCCATCCTCTACTGGATTTCCCCCTGCATTTAGTGACTTCTTGTTTGTTATTCCTTCATATTTGTCACATATAATGTACCACTGTGATGCCACTACCCCCCCCTCATGCTGCCCCTCCATTGGACGGCCCTCCACATGCCATCATTTGGGGAAACTTGTACTTTTTTGGGTCAGAGCATGACCCACTGGACAATGTCAAAGAAATAAAACGTCTAGCCTCAATTGTAGTACATGGGCTCTAAAACATGCAGTGTTAACCAGCGGCCATGGTTTTGTTGCGTTCAACATGTTCTTCCTAGTGATTGTCGATGTTATTGTCAAACGACAGACGTCTAAGCGCTCACATCTGTCTCACTATTTACTCTACATCCGTCTCTTATAACTGTCACTGTGTCTGCTGCCAGTCGAAGCATCAGGGCAAGGAGTTCCGCTTTTTGTTTTCTTATATTCGTGTGTGTGCGTTTCTATCAGCAGAGAGCAAATCTCTCTTCTCTCTTTCCTTTGGTTAATTACATCCCAAGAAGAAAACCGTCTTAGGCGAGAGATGGAGACGCATGTCAGCAACCTGTTGCCACATACTTGTTTTTTTTATTGTGTGCTGTGACTCGGTAGCCTCTCATAATAGATGACATTTTTTTTGATAATAATCGGAAAAGTTTTGTAAATTCAAATGGTACACTGCCCAGTTCTGAAAAAATGTCACAGCTTCTTTAAAACATTTTCCAGTTATCTGAGGAATTTATTGAAATTTTGGGGGATTTCACCCTAAAGCATGGGTTCTAGCTGTTTGATTGATCTGGAAAATACAGACCTGAAGCACAAAATATGTAAGCGCGAGTGGCCAAAGTGTTATCTCTTTTAGACAATGTGTGTGTGTGTATATAAGTGTGTGTGCCTGTTCAAATAGTGCTGAAAGATCATAGGACACTGATCACTGATCATCACTGGGGTCTTTGTTTGAGCATCACTTCACTTGAGGAGTTGATGCTTTATTCTCACGATTGCATCAGATGTTTGAATGACAAACATGGTTGTGCTATTCAAAGACATTTGATGAACCTGTGATGTAATATCAAAGTGTACTAATAGTCTAACGTGATAACGATGGTGTCAGTAATATATATTAATAAGATGTTCATTGACAGGGATTGGATGCCAGTATGTACAGTAAATACCCTGCATGACTGTTTTGCCAGCAGGCACAAATATAAATATTAAATTATGGACAAAAGCCAGTGTGAAATCCTGTCATACATCATACAAAAGGTTTTGACTGGACACTGTCTTAATGAGTTTAGTGAATAGTATAAACCTCTAGCTAGTGTGCACTAAGTCAAATCAGAGGCTGCGCTTACATGCAGGGAGTGACCTTCTTATTAACTGTGATTGCGGTTGATTGGAAGTTCGATACCTGCTAGAATTAGAATGAAATTAGTTTCATTCTATGAAACCTCAAAAAGGGAACTCCAGCAGTTAATATTGCACGCCTATTGAATTAGATGACTCTGTAGAGGCATAAAGCAGAGGTCAAGGTATCTTGACTTGAACGCCATAGTATGGGTCAAGTTCCAAAGGAACTGGGTCCTACATTACCCACAATGCAACCAAAAGCATGTTTCTGATAGACCCTCACCGTCCGGTAAACGCCCAACGTCTGTCGAACTCCATGCACTTAGTTTATAATACTGTATTTTTTCAGACTATACAAAGCTTCTCCAGAGTGGTATTATCGTAGGATAGTTTTCACAGGCTGAGCTGTACTGCCCATGACAAATACCAGTAAGTCAGTGGAGTTCCCCCTTTAATTTTTGCGTATAGTCTCAACCCACCAATGAAGCCACCACTGTGCTTCCTCCACCTCTCCCACTCTGCATCACGTCTTACAGGTCATACGTCACTGCTGAAAAATAACTCATCGACACACTGCAACCTTAACTGACTAACACGGTCTGCCGTTTTGAATAAGACAGCAGGTAATGATTGATTGATATTTTTAATGGCTCTGTTTTCACATCCATTCAATTACGTACGTAGTGAAAATGCAAATTGATATATCTACTGTGTATTGTATGTTGGATTGTTTTAACAATGTAAGTCATGAACAATAATCTTGTCCTCGAAATTAATTGTGCAACGAATGAGCTCGTCAGTTTTCTCTGCAAGAAATTATTTCTAAAATACTGAAAGTAATGTCCATAATTTGATTCTCCAAAATCATCTGCAACAGTGTGTTGAACATCAAGTATGCAACTCGTACACTGATTTTCTCCTAAACAGATGTGACGCTGTATGTATTGATGTTGATAGCAGGCTTAAGTGGGAAATAAATTCTAGCTAGAGCTGTGCAATGATCTCTTCTTGGAGATTGAAAGTACTTTTGATACACATGCTCTGACTGAGGCTTTATAAATGTATGTTATGAAACAACGCCGCTCTGTGGCGCTCTCATTTAAAATGATGGATTAAGTTAATCAAGGCAGCAGCGTGTCTCTGTGAGCTGTTTCCAATTGATTCTACAATCAGTAGGAGTGCAAAATACAGCAAACACCTCTCACTGTGCTAACTTCATAAATGGGTATAGACTGTTCATAGGCAGTAATGGCAATATGAAAGCAAAAATTACACTACGAGGAGTATTTCAGTTTAATCTGTTCACATGAACCCAAATAAACCTCTCTGCCAAAACCCCAGTTTGAATGAACGGTGTTGATGAAGCCTCAGGTTTGAGTATCTCTGAGGAATCTCTTGTCACTATTTTAGTTGAAAAGAAAGCTAGGTATCTGGGGTTTTGAGCTTTACTTACACACTTCAAGCAAAAACAGGTTAAAAATGCAGTTCTCTGTGCATGTAAACAAAGCTATTGTCAACCAGCTGTTCTGACTCACATTAGTTTTATTATGACAATGTTCTGTTGACTTAAAGTCAATAACCAGTTCCTTTCTTTGAAAGCCTCATGAGGGGGGGGGGGGGGGGGGGTATTTTGTTAAATTTGTTTTGTAGAAATATCAAATATGTGTTACCTAATCTTTTGTCAAAGTGTGTTGTAAAGGAAATGTCATATATTTGGTAATCACAATGATCATTATGGAGATTTTCAACATATGATTGACACAATAATTCAGATCAGGGTTTTTGACTGTTACTTAATGACTGCAGGATTCATGCAATGTTCTAGTTTGCTTGCTCTTTTATTTTAAACAAGTCTTTCACACCTCAAGCAAATTCATCTGTCTTCAGTTCCATGCAAACATAAATAAAATGAAAACAACACGAACTGGAAAAAGTTTGTTATTGACAGAAAACAAACTGTGAATCGTCTATTTCTCATGTTGTCTCTTTCCATTGTTTTGCAAAGCAACATCCCCATCATGAATCATGTGCTCTTTTTACTTTTTGGTTTGTGAACAAAACCCCTCAAAAATTGACTCCCTCCTAAAATGGAGGCTTCATTTGTCAAACTGAGACACCGACCTTAACAGGCAAGGCTTTGCAAAGTTTAATCTGGCTTTATTGATTGATGTTAAAATGTTTTATGGGTAATAATGTAATTTATTAATTTAATTAATTTGTTTAGAATTGTTTTTTGGTAAATATAGAATATTAATAAAACACATACAGTGTTGATCTTTGCTTTATTAAAGATGAAAGGAAGGGTTAGTAATCTAATTCAAAACATTTTTGATATTTTTGTTGAAATTGTCATTACATTCTGACAGAATCAATGAATCAAATGCTCTGACAAAAAAACCCGAACAATATATTTAGCTTTTTGGATTGATTTGTTT